TCGGAGCCCGACAGTAGTGAAACTTGAAACTCTGGTACCCTTTATAAATGGTACACTAAGAGAAAACACCAAAATGTCCGGGGCCCAAGACTGTTCAGCAGCCTCCCACCAAGCATAAGGGGAATTACCAATAGGCCCCTGGCTGCCTTCAAGAGGGAGCTGGACAGATACTTTAAAGTCGGTGCCGGATCAGCCGGGCTGTGGTTCGTACGTTGGACTACGTAACAGCCTGGTTGATCAGGCCCTGATCCACCGGGAGGCCTGGTCGTGGACCGGGCGGCGGGGGTGTTGATCCCCGGAACACCCTCCAGGTAGACTCCAGGCAGGTAGGTTATCTGTGCCTACACTCGTTAGGTTCGTGTCACTAGCACCAACAGTCTGGTGTGAGAGCGAGCTGCTCTGACACCAGACCTGAGAATCACACGAAGGTAGATTGCAGGTGAGGTGCAGATGATAGTTGAGGTAGAGGTAGGTTGAGGGAGGGAGGCTGGCAGCTGGGGAATACCAGCTGACTGACGGTGTAGGTTACTGAACTCAACAACTCAGTGCTACACCCACCTTCTCTCAACCTGATTTTTCTGTGATCAACTTGCTTGTATTAGCATTGACAACCTGATTGATCAGGCCATCAGCTGGAAGGTCTGGAAAGACACTTGTGTACAGTTTAGAACATTTATTGATGTCTTGAGTTACACAAATAACCCGCACGTAAAAAAGAGAAGCTTATGACGACGTTTCGGTCCGACTTGGACCATTTCTTGAGTTGTACGTAAGTGTCGTTTTCCACATCTCGTCGGTATCACCAGACCATTTTTAAAGGTTTGGTCTGAGACCAGGTAAGAATACAAGAATGGAAGGGCTCTGCAGTAGACCTACTGACCCATACTAGGCAGGCCCTTCTGCTAGTAGGTAAATTTCAAGGGTTCTTGTACTATCCCAGCCCAGCATCAGACCAGACTCCCCTAGTGACTATCAAGCAGACTGTTGCAGCTGGCGCTTCTCAGTCTTACACACGACGTATTTTCTAAACATTTGTTGGGGAATTTTTTTCTGTTTTGTATTTTCAATGTAATAGTGATACAAGGCGAGAATAATTCTGCTTTAAGATGTTTATATTTGCTTAAATCAACAAATGTTGCATTTGCAATGAGTGAGGCAATGCTTTCTGGCAGAATGAGAATCAATTAAGATGCTCGGTAAAAATCTGAATTAAGACATTGGTGTCCCGTAGCTGGGTTGGTAGCTCATTCACCGCACACACCGAGGACCGTGGTTGTATCCCCGGTACGGATGGAAACGTTGGACGTGTTTCCTTAAGACACCTGCTCTCCATGTTCACCTAAGGTGTTAGTAGACTTGTGTGGGTGGCAGCCTGGGGGACAAAATTAACCTAAGTAGCAGGAATTAGTCTGTCTGACCAGGGACTTACTATATAGTATGTCATCTATGGTCTATACAAATTGTATCGTGTATTGTAAAAATAAAAAATATATAGAATGTCATTAATTTCAGCTATGGTCTGTATAACTTGTACCATGTAGAAATTATTATTATTATTATTATTATTATTATTATTGATAAATTAGACACATGTGCAACTCTTGGGTATCTTTATTGAGGAAACGTTTCGCCACACAGTGGCTTCATCAGTCCATACAAAGGAGAATCTTGAAGAATAGGAGGAGAATGAGGTAATCAGTCCCTCAACCTTGAGTCGATGTGGTTGAGGGACTGATTACCTCATTCTCCTCCTATTCTTCAAGATTCTCCTATGTATGGACTGATGAAGCCACTGTGTGGCGAAACGTTTCCTCAATAAAGATACCCAAGAGTTGCACATGTGTCTAATTTATCAACATGTCGGTTCTCTGAACCATTCATCTACAAACATTATTATTATTATTATTATTATTATTACTGCTCAAGTATTCACAATAGAACTAACACTCCAAGTAAGGTTTTTCTTTATATAGTAAGTCCTTGCTTAACGTCGTCAATAGGTTCTTGGACACCACGACTTTAAGCGAAACAACATGTACTGAAACCAATTTTACAATAAACTGATCGCTATGAACGCCAGGAGTGCACAGTGTACATTTAACACTCATTGCAACAGGGTTAAATCAAGGAGTGATTGCATGGCTCTGGTGGCCTGGTGGTTTACGCTCTCGCTTCACACGGTGAGGGTCTGGGTTCGATTCCCAGCCAGAGTAGAAACATTGGACGTGTTTCTTTCCACCTGTTGTCTATGTTCCCCATCAGTAAAATGGGTACCTGGGTGTTAGTGGACTGGTGTGGGTCGCATCCTGGGACACTGACCTAAGGAGGCCTGGTCACAGACCGGGCCGCGGGGGCGTTGACCCCTGGAACTCTCTCCAGATAAACTCCAGATAGTGCAAATATTAAGGAGCTCCTCCCAGCTGGAAGTTCGGCCGGGTATCCATTTTCTTTTCTCATCAACGTTATAACGAAACGACGTTAGGTGTGGATATACTGTAGTGTTTTCTTCCTCTCTCATCTTGCAAATGAGTTTGTATCCTGTGTTAATTTAAGCAAAATTTAACATAAGCAGAATTGCAGTGTGAAAATTAAACAATGAGAAATTTCCCCCAGCAAATGTTCATCAAACGTCAGGCTATTTCGTTGATGCAAGCCTGAGAGTTGCAAGCAGCAACAGCTTGGTTGATAGTCTTGAAAACAGGGAAGTATGGCCTGGGGCTAGGCTGCGATACTGTAACAATCCTTTCAAATCTACCTGTAATTAACTCCAGGGGTTATTGTTCCCATTCTGTGGTCTCAGACCAGGTCTTCTGGTTGGTGGCCAGACCAGTCAGGCTGTGTTGTGTGTGTGTTGTGTGTGTGTTGTGTGTGTGTTGTGTGTGTGTTGTGTGTGTTTTGTGTGTGTGTTGTGTGTGTAGTTGCGTGTGTGTGTGTGTGTGTGTGTGTGTGTGTGTGTGTGTGTGTGTGTGTGTGTGTTGTGTGATGTTTTGTTCGTTGGTTGTGGAGTTGTGTAGTTGTGTGTTTTTGTGGTGCTGTGTGTGTATGAATGCGTGGTATGTTGTGTGTTGCATGGAGGTGTGTCGTGTGAGTATTGTGTTCTGTGGAAGTGTGTGTGTGGTGTGGTTATAGACATATACATTCGTCTTAATTAGAGCCTACTGTGGAGCTTAAGATAGTTAGAGCTTACAGAGCTAGGATTATTTATTACAGCACAGGTTATGTGTTAATATACCAAGGAGCTTATTACGAATATATTTAAACTCATAAACTGGAAGGACATTGGGAATCGTAAATGGACAAGTATTGTGATTATAGTGAAAGAAAGTGTGGATGACAGTGGAAGTTTGGAAATTACAGTGACGAGTAAATGGGATTAGATACTTGACATGTTTTGGTGAGCATTTCTTAATAGCTATTTTTGGTTGCTACAGGGTAATGACTGGAATAAGCAGTTAGTGTGTAACACAGACAATCGGGAGGTCTAGATCACTGGACCAGTGGTGCGGCGGGCGTTGATCCGAAATACCATCCAGGTAAACCTCTAGTGAAATACTGGACAAGTGGTGGCAGCAGTGGGATAGTGAAACATTGGACAAGTGGTGGCAGCAGTGGGTATAGTGAAATACTGGACAAGTGGTGGCAGCTGTGGGATAGTGAAACATTGGACAAGTGGTGGCAACAGTGGGATAGTGAAACATTGGACAAGTGGTGGCAGCGGTGGGATAGTGAAACACTGGACAAGTGGTGGCAGCAGTGGGATAGTGAAATACTGGACAAGCAGTGGGATAGTGAAACACTGGACAAGTGGTGGCAGCAGTGGGATAGTGAAATACTGGACAAGTGGTGGCAGCAGTGGGATAGTGAAACACTGGACAAGTGGTGGCAGCAGTGGGATAGTGAAACACTGGACAAGTGGTGGCAGCAGTGGGATAGTGAAACACTGGACAAGTGGTGGGCTGAAGTGGGGATAGTGAAATCACTGGACAAGTGGGTGGCAGCAGTGGGATAGTGAAACACTGGACAAGTGGTGGCAGCAGTGGGATAGTGAAACACTGGACAAGTGGTGGCAGCAGTGGGATAGTGAAACACTGGACAAGTGGGGGGGGGTTGGCAGCAGTGGGATAGTGAAACACTGGACAAGTGGTGGCAGCAGTGGGATAGTGAAACACTGGACAAGTGGTGGCAGCAGTGGGATAGTGAAACATTTTACTAGACCGTAATTCCACTGAAATTATGTAGATCTTCATAAACCTCATTGACAGATGTGGAGGTGTAGTGTTGTAGTGTTGCAGACAGTGTTGTATCTGAATAAATCAGTAACAAAAGTCATGGATCATACAGTGACAACTGCAGTGAATTGCACAGTGACCCATAGAGTGGGTTATGTAGTGTCATAGTGAATCATACAGTGATGAATATCGTATATCAGTGATAAGTACAGTGGATCATACAATAAAAACTCGGGATCGTACAGTGACATGATATGGATCATATAGTGACTAGTGCAGTGACGAAGACCTTGGATCATGCAGTGACAAATATCATGAATAATATTAATGAATATCTCGGATTGTACAGTGAAAAACTATGGTTCACAGTGAAAACTTTGAACCATAGTGCTGAAAACTGTGGATTTTAGTGATGAAAGCAGTGAAATTTGGTGGCAAATACTGCACAGTTGACAGTGAATGCAGTGTGGCAATTATAGTGCAGTTTGCATTGGTGAATACAGTTAAGAGTAGTGGTGAATGCAGTGCAGTTTACAGTGACGTATATAATGCAATGTTCAGTGGCGTGTATAGTTCATTTTACAGTGACATATAATGCAGTGTTCAGTGAGTGCAGTTTACATTGAATACAGTGGTGTTGAATATGATGAATATTGTGCATTATACAGTGACAGATTCCAGTGACAAATGTGGTGAATCAGTGACATTTTGGATCATAGTGTGTCATACTGTGGATCATACAGTGATTCATACCGTGAATCATAGTGAATCATGGATTATGCAGACTCAAATCGTGGATCATGCAGTGACTCATATCGTGGATCATACAGTGACTCATATCGTGGATCATACAGTGACTCGCATCGTGGATCATACAGTGACTCGCATCGTGGTTCATACATTGACTCGCATTATGGATCATACAGTGACTCGTACCTTGGATCATACAGTGACTCAAACCCTGGATCATACAGTGACTCGTACCCTGGATTATACAGTGACTCGTACTCTGGATCATACAGTGACTCATCCTGGATCATACAGTGACTCATCTTGGATCATACAGTGACTCACCCTGGATCATACAGTGACTCTCACCCTGGATCATACAGTGACTCACCCTGGATCGTACAGTGACTTACACCCTGGCTCATACAGTGACTCACCCTGAATCGTACAGTGACTCACCCTGAATCGTACAGTGACTCACACCCTGGATCGTACAGTGACTCGCACTCTGGATCATACAGTGACTCTCACCCTGGATCGTACAGTGACTCACACCCTGGATCGTACAGTGACTCGCACTCTGGATCATACAGTGACTCTCACCCTGGATCATACAGTGACTCTCACCCTGGATCGTACAGTGACTCTCACCCTGGATCGTACAGTGACTCTCACCCTGGATCGTACAGTGACTCTCACCCTGGATCGTACAGTGACTCTCACCCTGGATCATACAGTGACTCACCCTGGATCATACAGTGACTCACCCTGGATCATACAGTGACTCGCACCCTGTATTGTGCAGCGACTCGCACCCTGAATCATGCAGTAATCACACCCTGGGTCATGCAGTGACTTGTACCCTGGATCTTACAGTGATTTGTACCCTGGATCATGCAGTGACTTGTACCCTGGATCATGCAGTGACTTGTACCCTGGATCATGCAGTGACGTACCCTGGATCATACAGTGACTTGTACCCTGGCTCATGCAGTGACTTGTACCCTGGATCATACAGTGACTTGTACCCTGGATCATACAGTGACTTGTACCCTGGATCATACAGTGACTTGTACCCTGGATCATGCAGTGACTTGTACCCTGGATCATACAGTGACTTGTACCCTGGATCATACAGTGACTTGTACCCTGGATCATGCAGTGACTTGTACCCTGGATCATAGTGACTTGTACCCTGGATCATGCAGTGACTTGTACCCTGGATCATACAGTAATTTGTACCCTGGATCATACAGTGACTTGTACCCTGGATCATACAGTGACTTGTACCCTGGATCATGCAGTGTCTCATGCCTTGGATCATGCAGTGACTCATGCCTTGGATCATGCAGTGACTCGTGCCTTGGAATCATACAGTGACTCATGGTGTGGATTATGCAGTGACTCATGCTGTGGATCATACAGACTCATACTGTCGATCATACTCATACTGTCGATCATAAACACACACTGTGGATCATATAGTGACTTGTACTGTGGATTATAGCTCTTGATACCCTGGATTATACATTCTCATACCGTCAGTCATATAGTGACTCATACTGTGGATAATTGTAAGGAACTCTGGCTGTAACTGTGACATATAGTCTGAATGTCAGTGATACTGTAGTGAAGAGTATTGTAAAGGTTACAGCTAAAACGTTACAGATTGTGAATCTTCAAACTGGAATTATGTTCATGTGTTGTATTCACCCAGTTTTGTCTGGTAGGGGTTGGAACGTAGCTGCTGGTCCCGCCTCAGTTGTTGACAGGTTTTGTCGTCCGGTCTTATCTGCTCCTAAAGTATTGTGTTGCACTTTTCAGGCGAGGCTGAAGAAGCAGTTCCTAACTACCGGAGCCCTGCCCATGGCCGGGCTCCGGGAGTAGACTGTGGAAACTCATGAAAGGTATAAGAATGCGGGAACGGTGCAGCAGGAGTACTGGCCCAAACTAGGCAGGTTCTTAACTAAACTAGCCATTCTCAACCACCCACTTATTCGTCCACGTATCGCCTTTGTTTTTAACTATAATGTGTCCTCTGGCACCCTATCCTGGCATCGCAAAAATCTGGTTCCTTCACGCATTACTAAATTCTATGAAAGTTTGAATCTGATTATATTTTGTTTCTCTTCTAGTGCTGTTAAGTGTGTGTGTGTGTGTGTGTGTGTGTGTGTGTGTGTGTGTGTGTGTGTGTGTGTGTGTGTGTGTGTGTGTAAGGGATGACAGCAGCAGTATGGTGTGGTCCCAGACTGGACTTCAGCGTTAAGAAAACCCTGGATACCTGTTACAAATGTATATCAAACGACTAATCTGTTGATGCTTGTAGTGACCATGAACTCCGCCCCTTGTTCATACCCGCACCTTGTTGACAGTCTGGCTGCCACATTGGCACACACACAACAGTCTGGCTGCCACATTGGCACACACACAACTGTCTGGCTGCCACATAGGCACACACACAACAGTCTGGCTGCCACATTGGCACACACACAACAGTCTGGCTGCCACATTGGCACACACACAACAGTCTGGCTGCCACATTGGCACACACACAACAGTCTGGCTGCCACATTGGACAAAAGTTTACATTGACACACAACAGTCTGGCTGCCACATTGGCACACACACAACAGTCTGGCTGCCACATTGGCACACACACAACAGTCTGGCTGCCACATTGGCACACACACAACAGTCTGGCTGCCACATTGGCACACACACAACAGTCTGGCTGCCACATTGGCACACACACAACAGTCTGGCTGCCACATTGGCACACACACAACAGTCTGGCTGCCACATTGGCACACACAACAGTCTGGCTGCCACATTGGCACACACACAACTGTCTGGCTGCCACATTGGCACACACACAACAGTCTGGTTGCCACATTGACACACACACAACAGTCTGGTGCCACATTTGGGCACACACACAACAGTCTGGTTGCCACATTGAGCACACACACAACATCTGGTTGCCACATTGCACACACACAACAGTCTGGTTGCCACATTGACACACACACAACAGTCTGGTTGCCACATTGGCACACACACAACAGTCTGGTTGCCACATTGACACACACACAACAGTCTGGCTGCCACATTGACACACACACAACTGTCTGGCTGCCACATTGCACACACACAACAGTCTGGTGCCACATGGCACACACACAGCAGTCTGGTTGCCACATTGGCACACACACAGCAGTCTGGTTGCCACATTGGCACACACACAGCAGTCTGGTTGCCACATTGGCACACACACAGCAGTCTGGTTGCCACATTGGCACACACACAGCAGTCTGGTTGCCACATTGGCACACACACAGCAGTCTGGTTGCCACATTGGCACACACACAACAGTCTGGTTGCCACATTGACACACACACAACAGTCTGGTTGCCACATTGGCACACACACAACAGTCTGGCTGCCACATTGACACACACACAACTGTCTGGCTGCCACATTGACACACACACAGCAGTCTGGTTGCCACATTGGCACACACACAGCAGTCTGGTTGCCACATTGGCACACACACAGCAGTCTGGTTGCCACATTGGCACACACACAGCAGTCTGGTTGCCACATTGGCACACACACAACTGTCTGGCTCATGATAACCAAGAGAATGAAGTTACACGTAGTGTTTTGTAGTGGTATTTTGATCATTTAATTACTGGAGTAAGGTAGCGTTGGATCCCACAAGTCCAGCTCATTTTGATCATTTAATTACTGGAGTAAGGTAGCGTTGGATCCCACAAGTCCAGCTCATTTTGATCATTTAATTACTGGAGTAAGGTAGCGTTGGATCCCACAAGTCCAGCTCATTTTGATCATTTAATTACTGGAGTAAGGTAGCGTTGGATCCCACAAGTCCAGCTCATTTTGATCATTTAATTACTGGAGTAAGGTAGCGTTGGATCCCACAAGTCCAGCTCATTTTGATCATTTAATTACTGGAGTAAGGTAGCGTTGGATCCCACAAGTCCAGCTCATTTTGATCATTTAATTACTGGAGTAAGGTAGCGTTGGATCCCACAAGTCCAGCTCATTTTGATCATTTAATTACTGGAGTAAGGTAGCGTTGGATCCCACAAGTCCAGCTCATTTTGATCATTTAATTACTGGAGTAAGGTAGCGTTGGATCCCACAAGTCCAGCTCATTTTGATCATTTAATTACTGGAGTAAGGTAGCATTGGATCCCACAAGTCCAGCTCATTTTGATCATTTAATTACTGGAGTAAGGTACCATTGGATCCCACAAGTCCAGCTCATTTTGATCATTTAATTACTGGAGTAAGGTAGCGTTGGATCCCACAAGTCCAGCTCATTTTGATCATTTAATTACTGGAGTAAGGTAGCATTGGATCCCACAAGTCCAGCTCATTTTGATCATTTAATTACTGGAGTAAGGTACCATTGGATCCCACAAGTCCAGCTCATTTTGATCATTTAATTACTGGAGTAAGGTAGCGTTGGATCCCACAAGTCCAGCTCATTTTGATCATTTAATTACTGGAGTAAGGTAGCGTTGGATCCCACAAGTCCAGCTCATTCTGGCAGTGGATGCTAAAGTAATTAGTGTTGTTTAAATTTCTAATACAGTTAAATATCTAAATATAGTACATCAAATTTTAAGGTTACAACGCTATCGGAAGAGTTATTCTCTAGTCATTGCATATTTTTTTTAATAAAAAGTTTGAAGTTGATCATTGTGTTCATTGGTAGATCTGTCCGTAAAGATTGAGGGACTGATCACCTCAAGGTTCTACTGATTTTCAACCATTCTTCTGTGTATTGGACTGAGGAAGCCACTGGCAGTACAGATACCCCAGTGATGCATAAGTGTCATCATCCCGGCGGTTCTATGAACCATATATCCACAATAGTGTTAAGGTGCATGAGGATGAGACAGTGAACCACTGGGAATAGGTTGTATGGTAGGGATGTCCACCTGCTGGGAACCCACTCACGGTTGTCCACCTGCTGGAAACCCACTCACGGTTGTCCACCTGCTGGGAACCCACTCACGGTTGTCCACTGCTGGGAACCCACTCACGGTTGTCCACCTGCTGGGAACCCACTCACGGTTGTCCACCTGCTGGGAACCCACTCACGGTTGTCCACCTGCTGGAACACCACTCACGGTTGTCCACCTGCTGGGAACCCACTCACGGTTGTCCACCTGCTGGGAACCCACTCACGGTTGTCCACCTGCTGGGAACCCACTCACGGTTGTCCACCTGCTGGGAACCCACTCACGGTTGTCCACCTGCTGGGAACCCACTCACGGTTGTCCACCTGCTGGGAACCCACTCACGGTTGTCCACCTGCTGGGAACCCACTCACGGTTGTCCACCTGCTGGGAACCCACTCACGGTTGTCCACCTGCTGGGAACCCACTCACGGTGTTGTACCCACCTGCCTTGGGAACCCACTCACGGTTGTCCACCTGCTGGGAACCCACTCACGGTTGTCCACCTGCTGGGAACCCACTCACGGTTGCCCACCTGCTGGGAACCCACTCACGGTTGTCCACCTGCTGGGAACCCACTCACGGTTGTCCACCTGCTGGGAACCCACTCACGGTTGTCCACCTGCTTGGAACCCACTCACGGTTGTCCACCTGCTGGGAACCCACTCGCGGTTGTCCACCTGCTGGGAACCCACTCGCGGTTGTCCACCTGCTGGAAACCCACTCACGGTTGCCCACCTGCTGG